CTCGAGTTTGGGACCCGCGACCCTACTAGTTAGAACTCCAACGCTCTAAGCGTTGCGCCACTGGCTCACTTTCTTGTCAGTTTTTGATCGTGAATATACAGTAGCAGCTAGGCGTACACCGATCACTAACAGGACACACTCGTTCCACTCCGGTGCCTTTGAAGCTCACATTCGAGCCTACGCCGAAAGGTAAATAAGTATAAAAGCATTTTGTGATTTTGTCTGCTATATTGCTTTTATTTCCTCCCCTGCGTCTTCCTAATGTCTTATCTATATAACCCCCCCGTTTAACCACCTGTCCCTTATTATATAATTCCGCAGTGTCTACTTTCCACGGTTTCACCTATAATAACGTTCATAGTACAACCTGTTCGCTACCTTGGGTACGGTTTTTTAAGATAATCTCGTTGATCTGAAAATATCGGTAGGAACTTTGTTTGTGACGGCCGAAGACCTATCCCAAGTAATGCAGCATAAATCCCTCGAGAACAGTTGACAAACGAGCGCATGTGGGAAATACAAAAAAGATGTTTGGGCTGCGATTGCGATCAAAATGCGCGGTTGAAAAACTGTAGTGTTTTTTATTGTTCACTATTGTATACACTGAGAAAAAAGATGTATATTTTTTGAATGTGCAAAATAACCTTCTGTTTGTTATCAGTAAATATACTTATTGAAGTATGCAAATAAACAAATCTTTGGCAAGGCAAAATCAGTCTAAACATCTGCTTGTGTAATCCTTATTAGCTGTCAACCGCCAGTGATACTCACTTCCAGATGGAGTGCCAAACTTGCACATTAACACCCAGTCATGCTGTTTGTCGGTTGCAATCAAAAACATTATGATAATGTGAGTTTCATCGACGTGGTTACGAAACACATGTTTACTGCTATGCCTTGGAGCTTACTTTAGAGTCCTTGCATGTATATAAGGTGGAACAAAAAAAATTACATGAGATCCAAATGGGCATGGAATAACTTAGCGGCCAGACCGCAAGCGAAATGAAGAAGTTAATCTAGAGACTGCCAATCCCATGTCAATTCTATCAATCGTACGATCGATATATTACTGTCATACGAGGCTAGCAGATACCACATGGACATGAATGGCTAATCAGGGCACCGAGACAATATTAGACATATCAATAATGAATTGGCATTTCCTACTTTGCTAACTCCCCTTGATGTGCTCATGTACGGCTTTAGATCCTCCCAGGGATCGCCATGTTTTCGAATGCTGCGCGGTCAGATTAAATGTTCGTTTGTATCAAAATTGTTTCCGCATCTAAAATTTGATTTTTAGCGAATAAAAATGCTAAAAGTATTCCTTCGTAATATCTTTAGTATTAGGACGCGAGTTTCCATCGTGCAAATATATCAACAAACTACGAAAGTAGTTGACTCGTGTTTATACTTCAAAGCCATGGTTTCCTTATTTATTAAAATCCATTTGCTCCAACCTGAGGACAAACACAGTATTGCTTACCACCCTAATCTTTCGAGCAAAAACGCATAGTTCGAGCCCCGAACACTACCAAGCCGAACCCAATTACCTATTCAAACTGTTTTTAAAACACGGTTACCCCAGGGCGTCCGTGCGTCCATGCATGAGATGAAAACAGTTAAAACAAAAAGAAAAGGAACTGGGTTGTCCCGATCAGGCGCCCGATCCAGGAAGTTAGCGAATAATCCCATATGTTAAGAATGTGTCTGAACTTGTTCAAAGACAAATGAGGAAGCAGAAAATGCAAGGGGCGCACAAACCAACGAATACTCTACGAAATCAGCTGGTACACCGGGTTGGCCATTTGGACAGAAAAGAAGTCATTTACAAGATCCATTGTAGCGGTTGCAATGCAGTTTATTGCGAAAAGACAGGAGGATCGGCCTCACACGCTTACGCGAAAATCAAAGAGCAGTAAAGGGGTGATATAACTTATCCGAAGTCACCATGCACACATTAGAATCTGGACACCAATTTGCATAAGACAAAACTTGCATTATTGACTTTTGTCCATACAAGAAAGGTGTCGAGTTTTTAGAAGCCATCAACTCCAACATCGAATTGGACGCAGTGTACACCAACCTCAGGGAGTATGGAATTGACG